GCGCCCATACCGGACCAGGACCAGCCATGGGATCGCAACGCTCGGTGTTGCTCCCGCCCCTCGCTCAGCCAGTGAGCGGCCGGTCTGTATGTGGGATCCGAACCCTCGGCGGGAGCGCCACCGCACTTCCCAAGCGGCACACTATAGCAGTGCGCCACCGGGCCGGCCCCTGTGTATTATTTTTGAAGCATAAAGTTCAATATGTATTTTGTCCATGAGGTCTACCTTATTTACTCTGTTCAGATATTCTACATCTTCTTAATTTGGCCCACTAGATCTGTCTTGATCTGAGAGAAATGTGTTAATGTCTCTTTGTTTTTAATTGTGAGCTGAGCAGTACAATGAATTTATTACTTTGCATTTGAGAGTAAAATAAACAACAAGATATACAGCAGCATTCCTTTAAATGATGCATTTATTTCTGCTAAAAACTTGTCTAGATTCTAATTCCGGGACTGCCACTACTAGTTTTATGCCATTAGGCAAATATTTTATTTTAAGGCCTTAGTCTTTTCCTATGTGAAATAGGTAAGTTGTGGAATATTTTTTAATCCACTATTTTATTTACCAATTCAATAAAAGTGCTTTTGAAATATTGCTCTTCTAAACTCCACTGTGACGGACTACAATAATTGCAATAAAAACAGCCGCCATTTGTTGAGTGCTCAGAGCCTTCCAGGCTTCATGCTCAGTGCTTTACATACATGTGGAATCATGGCATATTCTTTTTTTTTTTTTTTTTTTTTTAATTTGACTGGTAAGGGGATCTTAACCTTAACCCTTTACTTGGTGTTGTCAGCACCACACTCTCCCAAGTGAGCCACGGGCCGGCCCCATGGCATATTCTTTTACGTTTTTCTCTTTAAACTCTAGAATGTTGAACTCTGATTCAATTGGCAGTGCGCACTTGCATTTTTTTGGACACGACTTTCTACTTTTATCAGGACAATGGTCAGAAAGATCACATCGGTCAAGGCAGCAAGCAGCCCACATTTATTTCGGTTAGTTTCCAGGTTCGGCAGGAAACAAGACTAGAATGAGATAAGGAGCTCAGGCCTTTACAGGGTGTGATCGGACTCTTGGACAAAGAACAGAGCTGTTTTCCTGGCCAGCTATTTTCATCCCAGGCTTATACAAATGTTCCCAAAGCAGTAAAAAAATATTGTAGCAAAAGATTGTTTCTTGAGGTTGGCAGAGATAGCATACTAACAAGGAATGTTTAGCTCTAAATCAATCTCCTTGTCCTTAGCAGTAACATTGTCAATACAATAGAGGCAAGTAATAAGACAGTCCTACCTTGCCTCAGATTACTGATTAGTATACTAGCACTTCTTCATTTAAAGATACTTTGTGTTTTTTTTTAAATTCACTTATCCATCTGGCCAATCATTTAACATTATTATCTCCTATTATCCTCATGGTTGATATATATATGATACCAGTGTCAACACTATCCCCTTCTGTGCCCATGGCAGAGAATCAGTCACTCATGAACTTGTACTCTTTCTTGCCAACCTAGATGTAGCCCCCAATCCTTCTCAAAATATCACTCAAGTACAAGAGAGGAATTAGCTCTCAGGATAGAATCCATTGCCCTTCTTGTTTACGCACTCTGTACGCAAAGATGAAGACCTGGAACTCATAGTGGAGTGTGGGACAAAGGAATGTAGATAACTCTAGATCAGTGAGATATGTGCTATGGCAGAGAGGGGTTGCTGCCTAACTTAAAGAGTGATGAATTTAGTTCCTTTAACAGCACGAGGATGCCCAACTCGCTTGAGTTCCTCAGACCATCATGTTTTTTGTCTGTGACTCGGTTCACCTGCTCAGTACATTGGGCAAGTATGTACGGAATGTCTACTTCAGTAGTTCTCACCACTGCCACAGCATGCTTGTGTTCCAAGTCACAGACGTGCTTTCAGTTTGATCAACTTGCAAAGCTTATGTTTACCACAATTGGAGCTAGCAAAGTCTCTCAGGTGGGCTGTGGAGCTCAATGGATCATTTGCTATAAATACAGAGGCTTAGTGTAAAATAATAGCTTAAAGGCATAATATGACATCATATCATGGAATTGTACTATGTCTGTGTTTCAGTGCACAGGAGAAAGCAGGCAGGCCAGGTTCATGGCAACCCTTACTCTTTCCCAGTCAGAGATGCAAGCATATGAGCCATCCATTTACACACCCAGGGGTGTGTTTCCAAAGAACTAGGTGTGTCTCTGTTTGGTTTAGCATTATGTTTTAATTTTAACTTCAAAGAGTGGAGGATCTGCTTCAGTGCTCTTGCCATTAGTCTAATCTGCTGATTTAAAAGTAGGTATTAATTTAATATCCAAACTGGCATGGCTAAGAGATACCACAGGTAATTAGAAGGCTCTAATTGAAGACACCTGAAAACATTTTGAGACAGTATATTCTGGGGATCTGAACCCTTGATCTTGGTGGTATAACACTGTGTTCTAACTAACTGAGCTAATCAGCCAGCCATATTCTGGACTCTTTAAAGTGTCCTAGACACAATATGGAACAACAGTCCTTTCATTTTGAGGGCTTGAAGCATAGACACCTAGAAAGGAACAATAATTAGGAAATTATAACATTTTCTCCAGAGACTATTGCCATGATGATTACGCAGCATTTACTGTAAAGAAAGCAACAGATACAGGATGGAAATGGATAGAATGAATAGAACAGAGAAAGAAAATAGCAGAGATAGCTCCACAAACCGTGAAGCCAACTTCTCACTGAAATTGACTCTCTGATTTGAGTGTATCCTATCAGGCAAAATGGTTCTATGACAAGATGCCCCAGGACCAGAAGGATCTTCTTGCTTTGGAGATCTTTGTTGTGACCTAAGCCATTATTACTAAATAATGTAAACTAAGGTAGTCCAAGAAGGATGATAATTTAAGAATACAAGGTGTAACATGTAGATTGGTAATGCTGCTTCCTGAAGAGTTGGGCTATTGACTGTTGGTAAAATGTGCATCTTAAATAATTTGTCTAAATCATCCTGGTACTCACAGAGGTATAAGTTTTTGAAATAATTGTTCTGTGAGTACAATTTACAATTAATTTTTTCCACATTAATGTAAGTTAACCGAATGCATTTTCAACCCTCTAGTCTCTGTTCCTTACCATTTAGTTTGGATCATAAACACCACATTTAACTAAGAAATCTAGGCAAGATTCTGTAGACATAAAACATACATGAACTTGAACTTTTAGGAAGTTAACTTTGATTGCGATAAAACCTCAATAAATACTTTGAAGCCACTGCTTCTTTACGGAATAACAGTGAGGCGATACCTTTTATTTAGGACTTCAAGTGCCTTAGCAATACTGTAATAGAGCAAGAGGAAAGCGGGAGTCAAGTGACATCATCTTGAGTCCAAAGTGACTGAGTAATTTGCTGGAAAATCAAACTGGCACCTGCAGGACGGATTCTCAAGGATCTGGTTTCAAGTGAGTTTTCAGACCTGGATGATCTATATCGTGTCATGCGATTGAGGCAGCTCCCCACTCTCCCTCATCCAGGGGGAGGGAGGGACCCAGTAATCTGCATTGTTAACAAGCGCCTCCCCTTCTTACCAGGTACCCTGAGGTCTGGACCACACTGTAAGAAATAGTGACCCTGATTTTAAAGACCATCTAATCCAAATTCCTCGTTTTACAAACGGCCTACAAATGTTAAATGACTTGATCAAGGTCTGGTAGCTCATTTGCAGATCTGCTCTCCTACTCCTACTTCCAAGATCCAGGAATCCGGGAATGTCAGAGAAGTTCCTCGCTGAAATCGGCCAGAAAAGCTATTTAAGAAGTTTCCCCTGAGCCCCTTAAAAAAACAAACAAACAAACAAAAACAAAGGGGGTCGTTAAGCCGCATTCCGATTTAGCATCTCCCTCCCACGGCCCCTGCCGTTCCAGAACCCTGGGAGAAGGGCGCCCCCGGGCCGCGGCGGGCCCTGGCGGGGAGGCGTGCAGCTCCGCCTCCGGCGCTCGCGGGCGCGCTCCACACTGGCCGCCGAGCGGCGAGCGCGGGATTCGGCGGCGGGCGGCGGGCGG